AATGTTCTAGATAGAATATTAAGTAGATTGTAGATATTGGTAAAATGTCTTACCTTAACAACAACTATTGTTCTAGATAAAATATTAAGTAGATTGTAGATATTGGTAAAATGTCTTACCTTAACAACAACTATTGTTCTAGATAGAATATTAAGTAGATTGGAGATATTGGTAAAATGTCTTACCTTAACAACAACTATTGTTCTAGATAGAATACTATGCAGATTGGAGATATTGGTAAAATGTCTTACCTTAACAACAACTACTGTTCTAGATAGAATATTAAGTAGATTGGAGATATTGGTAAAATGTCTTACCTTAACAACAACTACTGTTCTAGATAGAATATTAAGTACACTGGAGATACTGGTAAAATGTCTTACCTTAACAACAACTTCTGTTCTAGATAGAATATTAAGTATAATTGGAGATACTGTCTTACCTTAACAACAACTTCTGTTCTATATATAATATTAAGTAGATTGGAGATACAAGTAAAATGTCTTACCTTCACAGCGAGGATAGTTGTAAAATCCCTCTCGACATTGTCCACACTTTTCACCATCAAAATTCGATCGACAGAAACACTGGCCATCATCTTTACAAGACACCCCTTGAGATCCAGCCACATCACAGTTACAAGCTTTAGGAAAAGAAAAATATTCACACACTTAAAATGAAACAATTAATAATATGTACTTAATGTCATTTATACACATCTACTAAATATATACATTAATAAGCATCCACAGTTTTTCCATATATATACATATTACAGGTTTGTATAGTAACAAGAACATACAGAGTAATTATAGAATTTTGTGTATAACTTTGAAGTCGTTGAATCTACGGATTAGTAGCTTGAAGACTAGCTCAGATACTACAGATAGCTGTAACATCCAGCAGAATCAACTCACCTAGACATTCAGGATAGTTGTAGTACCCAGGAGAACACTGGTCACATTTCTTTCCACTGAAGTTCACTAGACACCGACATTTACCTGTAGAATCACAGACGGAACTAACAGATCCTTGTTCATCGCAGCCACATTCTGAAAACAATAATACATATCTTAAGCACTGGTAAAACAATAAGAAATTCATTTAAACAGAGTAATCTCTCTATGTTTACTAAAGATACTGTTGAAATCAATTTTATTGTTTGAGAAGTAATTATTATATTACCAAAAATATTTCCAGTTTACTCATATTACAAATATATAATCACAAATCTTTTTTGTATATGCAAATTTGATTTTACAGAACATCACAGGTAAAGTGAAACACTAAAAAATTTTTATACATAGCTTCTTCAGGTAAAGTTTCTACACAGGTAAAAACTCAGCACTTATAATGTTTTCGGACAACATGGGACCTACTGGTCCATCTCGGCTGTTCCATCCTCAAAACTAAACTAAAACTATTAATAAGTAAATTTAAAGAAATCTTAAAGCCAAGCCTTATCATTCATATACTTATCAAGGTTTCTCTGAAACTCACTTAATAAATTTAACTTCTTAACTGAATGACTTTCTATACTATCAAACTAATCAGACTGATAAAGTAACACAACTTATTTTACATTTTACAGAATCAGAAGAATGCAGGAGTGTTGGATGCAGCATTTTCCCCATCACTTTTCTACTGATTTACCATGCATTAGTAGTCTAACATATATAGTCAAAGTTCTTCTCCTGACACGTAACACCACTCCCTGATGAACTATCTACAATGTGTTCAGTGTTATCGTTTTCCTGCACATAACAATAGTGTACATTACATACATCAACTTGGAGCAATAACACAAGAAGTGAAAGTATTCAGAACCATATGCATGTTGATTCATGGTACTTCTATCACGGTATTTTGTTTCCACACCGAGTCGGAAATATTACTTAATTTTAGGGCTTTATTTTACTTTTCTGGGGAGAACCCTGGGGTATAACAACACAAATTAATAGCTTTAAGTACTTATTTTGTAATGTAAAGTAAAATGTTGCATCTTGAAATATATTTTAAAAACTTCAGTAACATTTAATTCATCAATAATTACAAGTAAATTATAACATTACATAACGTAAATATCATAAGTAACCTTTTACTGATCTACTACAAAAAATTACACAAATTATTTATCACATTCAAGAGTTTGTGATATTTAAATGTCTTTATCAGCCAATAAGATAATATATTAGGTGACAACAACCTATCAGAGACTAAAGTAGTCTGTCACAATCACAACTATCCCTGGTAACGTGCTTCGTATAAATGAAGAGCAGTTGGAAATTATCTACAAGATAAACACATACTTAATTGATGGTATAGCCAATAAGGAACTTTCAAATAATCTAACAGACTATAATAATCCTCCAATTAGAAAATATTTATGTCAGTGAAAATAAATACAATATGTAGAAAAATTACAATCAGCTACTGATCAGTTAAGAGTGGTTTTTCTTAAACATCTATATCATTAACTCCTTTTCAAATTGAATCACATTCAGTTCAGTAATTAAAAGTTATAAATAATATGTCCTGTTTAAACAATTAAATGACTAGACGAATAACACATATAGGATTATCAGTTTAAAAAAATCAAGTAAAGAATATTTAAAGAATTTTCTATGTTAAGCAACACACGTAATATTTTAACTTTACAAAACCATAAAAGACATACCAATACAGTCTGGAAATCCAAAGTAACCCGGGGCACAAATGTCACATCGTGGTAATCCGAACCCTGAGTGACATAAACATTCACCTGTTGTCTGGTTACAAATATCTTCAGTACTCCCAATAGGATCACAGGAACATACTATCAACAGAACAGAACAGTTAATAATCACTACATCAACAGGAGCATACTGTCAACAGAACAGAACAGTTAATAATCACTACATCAACAGGAGCATACTGTCAACAGAACAGTTAATAATCACTACATCAACAAGAGCATACTGTCAACAGGACAGAACAGTTAATAATCACTACATCAACAGGAGCATATTGTCAACAGAACAGTTAATCACTACATCAACAGGAGCATACTGTCAACAGAACAGTTAATAATCACTACATCAATGGGAGCATACTGTCAACAGAACAGTTAATAATCACTACATCAATGGGATCATACTGTCAACAGAACAGAGTAGTTATTAATCACTACATCAATGGGAGCATACTGTCAACAGAACAGAATAGTTAATAATCACTACATCAACAGGAGCATACTGTCAACAGAACAGAGTAGTTATTAATCACTACATCAATGGGAGCATACTGTCAACAGAACAGAATAGTTAATAATCACTACATCAACGGAAGCATGGGACCTATTGGTCCATCTCGGTTGTTCCATCCTCAAAACTAAACTAAAACTATTAATAAGTAAATGTAAAGAAATCTTAAAGCCAAGCCTTATCATTCATATACTTATCAAGGTTTCTCTTAAACTCACTTAAATTTACTGTCTCTACAACATCTGAAGGCAACCCATTCCAAAGGCCAACCCCCCTGTTAGAAAAATGAAACTGTCTTAGCTAAAGATGATTCCTACCTTGCCAAAATTTATATTTGTGGTCCCTAGCCCTACTATTCTCACTGTTAAGTATGAAAAAAAAGATGATGCATCAACACTATCAATTCCCTTTACAATCTTAAACACCTAAATCTGGTCCCCCTTAACTCTTTTTTCAAGATAAACCAATTTGAGAGATTTAAACCTCTCCTCATATCACAACCCCTCAAGGCACCATTATAGTAAGCCTCCTCTGAGCCCTTTCCAACAATTCAATGTCCTTCCTCAAGTAAGGAGCCCAAGACTGAACACAATATTCCAAATGTGGCCTAACCAGTGACCTGCACAATGAAATTATAACCTCTTAAGACTTGTATTCAATATTTCTGTAGCTACAACTTAAAATCCTATTTGCTCAACCACTAGCAACAGCACATTGCTTGGATAGCTTCTAAGACTGATCAACTATTACAACAAGATCCCTTTCTTTCATGACACTGTTAATGTTATTCCCATCTAAATTATACTTATAATTCAAATTATAACCCATGTGCATTATCTTGCATTTATAATAATTAAAACCCATCTGCCATTTATTTGTCCAACTCACTAAATGATCTAAATC